TGTGTTCTCTCCCAGGACAACCAGGCAGACAGTGGGATGGTTCTGGCTCTGTGTTCTCTCCCCAGGACAACCAGACAGACAGTGGGATGGTTCTGATTAGCTACTGTGTTCTCTCCCCAGGACAACCAGACAGACAGTGGGATGGTTCTGGCGTCTGTGTTCTCTCCCCAGGACAACCAGGCAGACAGTGGGATGGTTCTGGCGTCTGTGTTCTCTCCCAGGACAACCAGGCAGACAGTGGGATGGTTCTGATTGCTCTGGTTTCTCTCCCCAGGACAACCAGGGCAGACAGTGGGATGGTTCTGGCTCTGTGTTCTCTCCCCAGACAACCAGGCAGACAGTGGGATGGTTCTGATTAGCTACTGTGTTCTCTCCCCAGGACAACCAGGCAGACAGTGGGATGGTTCTGGCGTCTGTGTTCTCTCCCCAGGACAACCAGGCAGACAGTGGGATGGTTCTGGCGTCTGTGTTCTCTCCCAAAGGACAACCAGGCAGACAGTGGGATGGTTCTGGCGTCTGTGTTCTCTCCCCAGGACAACCAGGCAGACAGTGGGATGGTTCTGGCGTCTGTGTTCTCTCCCCAGGACAACCAGGCAGACAGTGGGATGGTTCTGATTTGCTACTGTGTTCTCTCCCCAGGACAACCAGGCAGACAGTGGGATGGTTCTGGCGTCTGTGTTCTCTCCCCAGGAAACCAGGCAGACAGTGGGATGGTTCTGATTAGCTACTGTGTTCTCTCCCCAGGACAACCAGGCAGACAGTGGGATGGTTCTGATTAGCTACTGTGTTCTCTCCCCAGGACAACCAGGACAGACAGTGGGATGGTTCTGGCGTCTGTGTTTGATCTCCCCGGACAACCAGACAGACAGTGGATGGGTTTGGGTCGGTCCTCCCAGGACAAAGGCAAGACATGGGTTGTTCTGATTGTCTTGTGTTCCGTCTGTTCCAAAAAGAAAAAACAGAACATGATGGTCTGAATAACAACAGCTATCCTCCCAACATCCGCAGACGTGGGCATGTTCTGGCGTCTCGTCTCTCTCCCCGAAACCGCACAGTGGTCTTCTCTCTGTTTCTCTCCCAGGACCCTGCCAGGGGTGTTCTGCGCTCTTCTCTCCTCCCCGACACCGCAGACTGGGATGGTTCTGATTAGCTCTGTGTCTCTCTCCCCGACACCAACAGACATGGGTTTCCTATTCTACTGTCTTCCCCTCCCAGACCCTCCATATTTCTCTGGCTCTGTGTTCTCTCCCCCCAACCCACTGGATGTTCCTGCCGTCCTGTTCTCTCCCCAGTAGAACAGGCAGACAGTGGGATGGTTGAGTTAGGCTACTGTTGTCTTCCCCGGAACCAGCACTATGTTCTGCGCTCTGTGTTCTCCCTTTTCACAGGATGGCACAGGCAACAGTGGCAGGTTCTGCGTCTTGTTCTCCCCCCCAGGACAAGCAGCGCGTGGGACTGCGTCATCCTCCCCTGATGTCTCATACAGCACCAGCAACGTGGGGGTTCTGCGTCCTTTTCTCTCCCCAGGACACGGAGACAGTGGGAGGTTCGAAGTACTGTGTTCTCTCCCGGACATACCTGCAACGGATGGTTCTGATTACCTGTTCTCTCCCTCAGGACAACCAGACAGACGTGGGATGGTTCTGATTAGCTACTGTGTTCCTCTCCCCAGGACAACCAGCAGACAGTGGATGGTTCTGATTAGCTACTGTTTCTCTCCCCAGGACACACCAGACAGACAGTGGGATGGTTCTGGCGTCTGTGTTCTTCCCCAGGACAACCAGGCAGACAGTGGATGGTTCTGGCGTCTGTGTTCTCTCCCCGGACAACCAGGCAGACAGTGGGGGTGGTTCTGGCGTCTGTGTTCTCTCCCCCCGGACAACCAGGCAGACAGTGGGTGGTTCTGATTAGCTACTGTGATCTCTCCCCAGGACACCAGGGAGACATGGGATGGTTCTGGCGTCTGTGTTCTCTCCCCAGGACAACCAGGCAGACAGTGGGATGGTTCTGGGGTCTGTGTTCTCTCCCCAGGACAACCAGGGAGACCCGTGGATGGTTCTGATTAGCTACTGTGTTCTCTCCCAGGACAACCACAGACAGTGGGATGGTTCTGGCGTCTGTGTTCTCTCCCCAGGACAAACCCGGCAACAGTGGGATGTTTTTGATAGCTACTGTGTTTTTCCTCCCAGGACAACCAGGCAGACAGTGGGATGGTTCTGGCGTCTGTGTTCCTCCCCAGGACAACCAGGCAGACAGTGGGATGTTCTGATTAGCTACTGTGTTCTCTCCCCCGGACAACCAGGCAGAAAAGTGGATGGTTCTGGCGTTGTGTTCTCCTCCCCAGGACAACCAGGCAGACAGTGGGATGGTTCTGATTAGCTACTGTGTTCTCTCCCCAGGACAACCAGGCAGACAGTGGGATGGTTCTGGCGTCTGTGTTCTCTCCCCAGGACAACCAGGCAGACAGTGGGATGGTTCTGATTAGCTTTCTGTTTTTCTCTCCCCCCAGGCCCAAAAGGCAGACAGTGGGATGGTTCTGGCGTCTGTTTCTCTCCCCAGACAACCCGGCGACATGGGATGGTTTTTGATTAGCTACTGTGTTCCTTCCCCAGGAAACCAGGCAGACAGTGGGAGTTCTGGCGTCTGTGTTCTCTCCCCAGGACAACCAGCAGAAAAGTGGGGGTGGTTCTGATTAGCTACTGTGTTCTCTCCCCAGGACAACCAGACAGACAGTGGGATGGTTCTGGCGTCAGAGGAGTTTGAAATGATGGAACAGGAACAAAGAAGAGCCAAGTATGTTTAACATACCAATAACATAATGCCCTTAATATGACAAGGTGTCTGTCTGTCTGTCTGTGTGGGTCCTGTCTGTTTAAAAAAAAAGAAAAAAAAAAGAAAAATGGTCAGAAAATAACAACAGCATATCCTCCTAACATCATCATCCCTCCTCCTCCTCTCACCTCTCCCCCCTACTCCTCTCCTCATCCTCTCATCTCCTCTCCCTTCCTCATCCTTCCTATCTTACTCCTCTCCTCTCCTCTCCTCTCCTCCCTACCATCCCTCCTCCTCTCCGCTCCCTCCTCCTCCTCTCCATCTCCTCTTCCTCTCCTCTCCCTCTCCCCCCTCCCCTCCTCTCTTCTGTTCTCCCCTCCTCCCCCCTCTCTCCTCCTCCTCTCCTCTCCCTCCTCCTCCCCCAGTAGGAGTACAGTCAGCGCCTGGTGATGGTTGAGTCCAGTGGTAGCTCCGTTGTCTCCAGACACCAACCAGCCTTCCTCTCTCAGCTCTCTGGTCAGACCTTCTACAACAACGAGTATGGTCAGCTGTCAGAGGAGGGCAGGGTCCTGGACTTCTTCTCCTCCCCTGACGATGCACGCTGCCTCGCATCCTCCAACCTGTGATGTCATCATTATCATCATCATCACAGTGGGCTAGCCCCTCCCCCTCCAACCTGTGATTGACTACAGTAGGTTCCAATACCATGGAATCCCAACTGAATATCGCTGTTCCACTACTGTTCCACTACTGTTCCACTACTGTTCCACTACTGTTTCACTACTGTTTCACTACTGTTTCACTGCTGTTTCACTGCTGTTCCACTGCTGTTCCACTACTGTTCCACTACTGTTTCACTACTGTTTCACTACTGTTCCACTACTGTTCCACTACTGTTCCACTACTGTTTCACTGCTGTTTCACTACTGTTCCACTACTGTTCCACTGCTGTTTCACTGCTGTTCCACTACTGTTCCACTACTGTTCCACTACTGTTTCACTACTGTTTCACTACTGTTCCACTACTGTTCCACTACTGTTCCACTACTGTTCCACTACTGTTTCACTACTGTTCCACTACTGTTTCACTCTGATTCCACTGCTGTTCCACTGCTGTTCCACTGCTGTTTCACTACTGATTTCCCACTATGGTCACTACTTCACTACTGTTCCACTGCTGTTCCACTGCTGTTTCACTGCTGTTTCACTACTGTTTCACTACTGTTCCACTGCTGTTTCACTGCTGTTTCACTGCTGTTTCACTACTGTTTCACTACTGTTCCACTACTGTTCCACTACTGTTCCACTACTGTTTCACTGCTGTTTCACTGCTGTTTCCACTGCTGTTCCACTGCTGTTCCACTGCTGTTCCACTGCTGTTTCACTACTGTTTCACTACTGTTCCACTACTGTTCCACTACTGTTCCACTACTGTTTCACTACTGTTTCACTACTGTTCCACTACTGTTTCACTACTGTTTCACTACTGTTTCACTACTGTTCCACTACTGTTTCACTACTGTTTCACTACTGTTTCACTACTGTTTCACTGCTGTTTCACTGCTGTTTCACTGCTGTTTCACTACTGTTCCACTACTGTTCCACTACTGTTCCACTACTGTTTCACGAAATGAGCGACATTCAATTCGGATTTCCGGTCTTGCTAGCCACAAGGGTTGGGATTATATTGTAGTATACTCAATCCCATCTCAATCCCCCTCCCCCTCCCCATCTCCGTGACCTACTGACCCATACTGGATTGAGCAGTCTGGACCTGCAGTTCTCTATCCAGTCACTGGGTGGCAGTATTATGTCAGAACCAAACCCAAAGTATTTTATATCAACCACAGTTCAGATTTGTATCTTTATACAGAGTAAGCTTCTTTTGTTTATTTGTACAAAAATATGAAAATAAATAAAGCAATATATCTTCTTTAGTCATGTCTCACATCTGTTATTTTGCTAATAATAATTACGATAGCAATATGGGAAGTGTGCAAACTTCATATTATAGTATGTTATTCTGATCTGTTAGTACAACCTATCATGATGAGATCACTGTAGAGTGAGTGGGAGGGGTGTTCAGAGAATGGACTGGATGTATGAATGAAGACCAGTGATGTAATATATGCTGGTGACTTAATATGGTTCTACTCCAGATGAAACGACTGGTTCTGACAGGTCTAGAACTTTCTGAATTGGTATCAGTCTGCTGGCTTCTCTCTAGGGTGCATCACAAATGGTTCCCTATTGAGAGCACTACATTTGACCAGGGCCTTTAGGACTCTAAAGTAGTGCACTATATAGGGAATAGAGTGGCATTTGGGACAGACAGAAGGTGGGGGAGCGTCCATAAGGTGGGGGGAGCGTCCATAAGGTGGGGGGAGCGTCCCATAAGGTGGGGGGAGCGTCCATAAGGTGGGGGAGCGTCCATAAGGTGGGGGAGCGTCCATAAGGTGGGGGAGCGTCCATAAGGTGGGGGAGCGTCCATAAGGTGGGGGAGCGTCCATAAGGTGGGGGAGCGTCCATAAGGTGGGGGAGCGTCCATAAGGTGGGGGAGCGTCCATAAGGTGGGGGGAAGCGTCCATAAGGTGGGGGGAGCGTCCATAAGGTGGGGGAGCGTCCCATAAGGTGGGGGAGCGTCCATAAGGTGGGGGAGCGTCCATAAGGTGGGGGAGCGTCCATCCACCTGACTGAAGGATGGATGAGGGAGGAGAGGAGATGGAAATAGAGTTTAGGAGAGAATAATGGAGTGAGTCATCTAACCAAACGCTCAGCGATGGCTGGACGTCAGCCTTTTGACAAAGATGACGGCGTAAAAGCCTATTGACACATCGTTTCCTTGTGGTCTCAGCTGAAATAGGATAGAGCAACAGAGATCAACATGTGGTCTCAGATATCTGCAGTTATCAGAAACCAGTCATCTAAACTATTACCCATTATCAGGGATGGGCGTAGGACTGGTGACCAAGACGACCCCCCGGACACAGCTAGCTACACGTGGCGAGAGAGACAGTGAGCTGAATCAGGAAGCTGAAGTCCACATTGCTACGTTAACAGAAGTTTACAATGAGTTCCAGTTCTATGGGTGGAATGTTCCCACTGAAATGTATCAAATCCAACAAATACTTGTGTCAGTTTTTATGCAACAAATTTGAATGTTGTTTTGCTTGGAATGATCCAGGCCGATTTGAGTAAGAACAGCCAATAACTAGATCATCACAAAATCATCGTCTCTAAAGGAAGGAGCGTGAATAGTCTTGAGGTCAGTGGTTGTCTGTTGTCATGAGGAAGTAGGAACTAGAACACCGTGGTTGCTAAAGCAACTTTACTGGTAGTACAACGGGTTGTTTCACTGATGACACGTCATCGGATTCTTTCATTACAGGGAAATGTCTGACCCTTCTAGTCCAGAAATACCTGTTTTAACAGACTTAAAATGGCCTTCATCTTAGTTGTCATGGTAGCGATGAAACCATTGATACATCTTGAAGGCATCCCAAATGGCACCCTATTCCCTGTGTAGTGCACTACATTGATGATAGCCCTATGGGCCCTGATCAAAAAGTAGTGCACTACATTGGCAATAGGTTGCCATTTGGGACGTAGCTCTTATAACTAACAGTTCCCTCCCTTCACACAGAAACCCTGTAACAACGTCAAAACGGATTATACCGACTGTTATCAATTACAGTCAAAAGAACAACACATTTACATACTGACAGTGTAAAATATAAGAAGAAACTAAGGAAATACTATTCTTTCTCTTTGTTTGGCAAAGATAAGACGTCCGAATCCTTTAAAAAGTCTCAGAAGGTAGGCTGGAAATGAAAAAGTAAAAAAAATAATAAATAAAAAAATTGGTAAAAGCAAAAACAATTTCATAACAAAAGGATTTGACACAAGGACATTGAACAGATAGTACGGTCAGTCAAAATGGGATTTAGGAAACATTTTATAAAAAGGAGAGGGGGCGGGGCAGGGTAGTAAACACTGACCACTGATTGACAACGTTGTAGTTCTAGAACCAAGACTAGTTCTAGAGCTGCTGGTCTATAATTCAGTCAATACCGTCACAGATTCGGTAGAGTCCAGTGGTAGCTCCGTTATCTCCAGACACCAACCAGCCTAACATCTATCTCCCCTCTCCTCCCCTCCCCTCCCCTCTCCTCCCCTCCCCTCTCATTATGAAATCAGAATAAGAAAACCCTGGTTCAGTCAACATAGAAATTTTAAAAAAGAACGCTTGAAAACACTCGATTTGTATTTGTGAGACATATGACATGGGCTTTACAAAACGTAAGGCACAATTTATCAATTACAATCTTCCTACAGTTGACCATCCGATCCCCTGGAAATATACTGCCAGCCTCTGGGTGCATCTCAATAGTCTGAATCTACTGCCAGCCTCTGGGTGCATCTCAATAGTCTGAATATACTGCCAGCCTCTGGGTGCATCTCAATAGTCTGAATCCTCGTCTCCTTGTGTCTCCTTTCCTTAATCTGCTCTGACAGATGAAGGAATGTATGCCTCAGTTGGTAGAGCATGGCACTTGTAACGCCAGGATGGTGGGTTCGAATCGCGCTGGGGCCACCCATAAAGGAAATGTGTACCATGACTGTAAGGCGCTTTGGAAAATAGTGTCAGCTAAATGGTATATATTATTATTATTATTAAATCATGTGGAAAATCGTCAGTAGAATGGTATATAGATATTATTTATTATGGGTGATTCTTAGCATGGGAAAATTTCGTCCGCTAAAGTGGTATATAATCTTATGATATTTCGGGTCAAGGAGTGTGTGGAAAATGTCTGTGCAGCTATAATGGTATAGTACGATTATTGAATGATGATGCCGGTGGTGCAAAATCGTCAGCTACATGGTATATAAATATTATTATTATGATTAGACGCCGGTGAAAATCGTCAGCTAAATGGTATTCATATTATTATTATTAAAGCAAGGTGAAAATCGTCACTAAATGGTATATCATATTATTATTATTAGCGGTGAAAATCGTCAGCTAAATGGTATATCAATTTATTAGTATTAAAGCAGTGAACATCTCACTAAATGGTTAATAATATTATTTAAAGCAGTGTGCAATCCGTCAAGCTAAGCTGGTAGATAGTAAATTATTAGTATTAAAGCAGTGAAAAACTCGGCAGCTAACATGTATTAATATTATTAGTTATTAAAGCAGGTGAAATCTCCAGGCTAACTGGTAATAATATTATTTATTATTCTAGCAAGGTGAAAATCGTCAGCTAATGGTAATATATATTATTATTAAGCAGAGCGGTGAAATCGGCAGCTAAAAAAAACAAAATGGTATATCTAATTATTATTATTAAGCAGGTGAATAAATCGTCGCTAAATGGTATATAATATTAATTATTATTAAACAGAGTGAAATCGTCACTAAATGGGGATAGAATAGATTATTAGAAAGCAGGTGAACACGTCAGCTAAAGGGTAATAATATTAGTAATTATTAACAAAACGGCAGTTGAAAGTCGCAGCTAAATGGATAGATAATATATTATTATTATAGCAGGTGAAAATCTCAGCTAATGTATATAATATTATTATATTATAGCAGGTGAAAATCTTCAGC